ATGTAATGGAAAGCCACATTGTGAAAAACATACTTTGATAGAACAAAATATTCTGAAGTTAAATAATAGCAAGAGAACATTTGTCGTCAAGCTTTGCACCTTTCTTTATGTGTATTTGTCTTTTCCCCTGTTCCTCATGAAAAATGTGAAATTAATGAAATGAAGAAGTGTATCTCTATTGTATTCTCCATTCACGCTCGTATTTTTGGGTTATTTTGCTTACTATCACCTATCATCTTGTAGAGTTTGGCTAGTCAAATCTGTCTTTCTCTAGAATATACCTTCTAGCATTTTCAGATGTTCATGCAGGACATCACTGATAATAGGTAAAAATTACAAAAAATAATACAGTGGTCAACCAGAGGATAAACACTTATGAAGGGAGTAGTGGTGGTGGTTAAAAAAGATTTCAAACCACAATCCCTTAACTGACTTGAAAATGCCAAGAATATAGAAGGCATAGGATAGAGAAAACTCCTTCCTGTTCAGTCACTCTTGGCACTATTTGCTGCTTCCTTCTTAATCTGGAGCATAGATTCCAGAATGCATTACCAATAAAACATTAAGCAGTTGGTCCACAATTTCATCAGGAGTGCTCTGTAATTATATGAAAATCAGCTGTCTGTTTAAATTTTTCAAAAAGTGTTCTTTAGTCCTAAAAGTCATAGAATCTCTCTTATTACAACCTGTGCTAATATTCTATTACTTTTTTTTTTCCTCCCTTTGAACTGTATTTGGGAATAACTAGCTTGGTGACAGTAATTGCAGCTGCAAACCATATTTCTTTCTGAACTTCACTAATCTGCACTTGCATAAGAATTAAAAGCGAGAGCTCCTCTAATCTCTAGTACATTTTTGTTGATGTTACTTTCTTTGTGTCATCATATATTCTAAATGTGTTTAAGTCAAAATTGTTTTGCAATGGAAATCCAGTGTCCTACACTACAAGCCAATGCATAATTAAGAAAGAGCACAGAACAACAGATATGGACCAAGACAGTATATTTTTTTGAAATTACCAAAATTTACACAAAATCAAAAATGTTGCCAGACCACTATTATATTTACAGAAGCAGATTAATTCTTCCCTTAAAAAGTAGGAAACTCTTTCTAACGATCCTTAATGATCTGATGCTTATCCTGTATGCAGGACACACTCTTGTAATCATCCAGAACTTACGATTTCATTTGATGTTCATGTCAACAAGATGTTTGGCTGTTCTACAAAATTAAATCACAAGTCCCTTAAACAAATGTTCCTCTAAACAGTTTTCCACAGATGAGAGTAATTTGCTGCAGTTACATAGATGTACAGGAAGTGATCGTTGATCTGTATCTCAAGGTAACACTGTAAGCAGATTGAAAAATCAGCATGTATTTTTTTTTTCTCTCTCTAACTCTGGGCACTAGGTGCAGCATATTTAGTACACATATATGAATTTCCTTCTCCTTCTCTTTCTTAATTGGAAGAGGGGAGGCAACAAAAGTCTTCTAGTGATCAGATTGTTTTTCCATGGTATAAATTTGAATTGAAGCCATCTTTACAAGCAAATTAAGCTAAGCAGAAAACATTTCAGATGCAATAATGATGATTTTTAAAAAATAATTTTATGCATCTGCTCCAGAAATAGTTTTCCTTTTGTTTATATTAAGGGAGTACTCAGAGAAGCATAGAATAAGCTGGGCTGGAAGGCACCCATCAGGTTCATTGAAGTACAACTCCTGGCTCTGCACACAGCAACCCCAAGTCACACCATGTACCTGAGAGCATTGTCCAAACTCCTTGAATTCAGACAGGCTTAGTGCTGTGACCACTTCCCTGGCGAGTCTGTTCTAGTGTCCAACTGGATGAAGAAGCTTTCCCTGAGATCCAAACTAAACTTCCCCCAACTCAGCTTCATGCCATTTTCTCAAATCCTGTCACTGGTTTTGTGATAAGATCAATGTCTGCCCCTCTGCTTCCCCTGGTGAGGATGTTGAAGACCACAATGAGGCCTCCCCTCAGTCTCCTTTAGACTGAACAAACCGAGTGTTCTCAATGACTTCAGACCCTTTACCAACCTTGTGGTCCTCATTTTGATGCTCTCTAATAGCTTGGCTTTTGGGGGGTTTTTTTGTGTTATTTTTTTATGTTGAAGCACCAAAAACAACGGCATACGATATTCGAGGTGAGGCTGCCCCAGTGCAGAGCAGAGAGGGACAATCCCCTGCCTTGCCCAGCTTTGCCTGATGTCCTCCAGGAAACAGTTGGCCCTCCTGGCTGCCAGGGCACTGCTGACACAATTTGACATCAACCAGGACCTCCAGGTCCCTTTCCAGAGCACTGCTCTCCAGCCTCTCCTTCCTTAATCTACACACTCAACCAGGACTTCCTTGTCTCAGGTTGTAGGCACATGGCACTATGGCCCATGGAATATACAGGGTAAAATAAGACTTTATTACATTTGATACAATGCATAGTTAAAACCATGAATTTCTTCATATTTTGAGTTTTATTCATACATATTTAATACATGTATAAAAAATTGTGTCCAGCTGAAAAGACATGACTTGATTGCCTGACCAAGGATGAGTTAATCAGCATGCATTATTTCTAACAACTTCACTTTCCTGCTCCATGCCTGACTTCTTTTCAACAAAGTAATATTAGGTTTCATTACTTATTTTCCTGATGCTCTAGGCCTGTATTTTGAATATCTGCAACTGCAGTAGCCAATGTTTTGTCTACTGCGGGCTGTACAGGCTTTTAACGATTCATGAAAGGTGGCAAAACTTGGGTTGAATTCTCTTTCCACGTTACCCCCATGATCTTCCTAGGATCAGCTACTGGATGGCTGGTATTATAACTACTGGTATTATTCCTGTGCCTTTTACATAATAGCCTGGCTTCCAGCCTTGTGACAGGATATACACGCTGTGCCATGCGTATTCCCATCACGTGGCCGACGTGCATCTGCAATGCTGGCATTGTGCTGGTGCAGCAAGTTGCTTCCCGTTACTCAAGGGCCATGTGCTGCAGCACCCTCAGGAAACAGTTTGGCAGGAGTGAGGCTGCTCAAACCCTGCACTTCTCACCTCTCGGGAGGTGCAAGCAGCGAGTCGCCAAATTAGTTTTTTGTTAAGCTTGGATTTTTCTTTGTGACCCACTGATTGAGACCTTGAGTGGCATCCTGCAAGGAGTGCAGGGGTGATGGGGAGTGAAATTCTCTGTGTTACCATTAAATTTGAAGTCAAAGCTCTCAGAATCTGCTTGATGCATGGTTTGGATCAGGGATGGCCCTTCCTATGGTGACAAGGGAAGAGATGAAAGCCTTGCTGGGCACATTCTGAGACAATGGCTTGGTTGTTGGAACCCCCCAGGACAGTTGTCTGCATGGACACTGTGGTTAGTGAGACTTAAGTGAAAACATTTTTTAACTTCATAACACTTTGTCAAATTAAACACATTTACAATTGGTATTAGAATAATAGAATCACAGAATAGCCTGACTTGGAAGGGACCTTAAAGATCATCTAACTCTAGGTCCCCTGCCATGAACAGTGCATCTTTCACTATACCAGGTTGCTCAGAGCTACATCCAGCCCATCCTTGAACAGTTCCAGGGATTGGACATCTACAATTTCTTTGGGTGACCTGGTTCGGTGCCTCATCCTCTTCACAGTTCTGTATATAACTCTGTTTACAGAAGTGAGTTCGGTGAATTTTCCTTGTGTTGGGGTGTTTCTGCTGTAGATGAAACCACACATGACATTTTATACCCTTTGAGTTGTACACAAGACAAGGAGCAGTTTTGATTCAGGTGAGCTAGTTCTGAGCTACCTGTTTTATTCATGTAATGCTCAAAATCATTGAACTGAAAGAGTTTATTTTTTGTTAGTGGCAGAGTCAGATAAGAAATTGTAAATTTCTGTTAATATCGCTTCGCATTTCTTCATTTAGAAGTTTTACGTGTTTTTTGAGTATTGCAACAATTTTGTAGTATACTGTAGAGAGTCTCCAGCCAGTTGACGCATTTTGTGCTAGTGTACCTCTGTATTTTGTGTCTCATACTGCCATCTAAGGGCCATGTAGGCTGAGAAGGTGGCTAAAGGTTCTTCAATACTCTTCATTCTCCATACTGCCCTTCTCTTTGAGAAGTCAGCAATCCATGGATGAGAAAGGTGGGCAGGGGCCAAACACCAGTCTTTTGATGCAGTATGCCTTTGTTTCATCTAAGAGGAACAGGGGAATCTTCCTGATAAGTGATAAACTGGAAAGTAAATCTCAGCCATTTAGAAAACTACAGTTGCAATGAGTGTGTGTAAAGGCCAGAGAATAAGAAGGCAGGATTACAGGATTTGAGGCTACTCCTGAAACAGCAAGGGAGTGTGAGGTTTAGATTCCTTTAGGCACCTAAATCGTCATATCCTACTGATATAGGAATTACTGCTTTATAACAGAATTTGTTTATTAAGATTTTCCCTAGAAAGGTACGAAATAGCATGATTTAGTTTCTTTGTTTAGTGTTTTGTTAGTTTTTTTTGTTTTTGGTTTTCTTTGTTTTTAACTGGTTTTGCATTTCTGGGTGTTTTGGTTTTCTGGGACTAGGGCATCAAACAGGAAAAACTCAGTGTTACTTTAGGCATATATGATATTAAATAACATGAACATCATTTAAATATTTTGGGGTTCAAGTATTCAAAATTTTATCACAAAAACTTATCTTTCCAGGATAAAAATGATTTATATATATATAATCTGCAAACTCTGTTTGTGTAGGCTTAATTCTATAGCTCCTTTCTCCCATAGATATTTTGAACTACAAGAGTGATAAAGAAGTAGTGGAAGAAGCAAAACATTTCACTGTTTGTCAATATAGTGATGTTGGCATTGACTGTCAGAAGCAGTTTTCATAATAAGGACCCCTTTATTTTACAATGTATGATTTGCTTTTCAGGCTATTTTCTAGCAAACCTTGTGTACCAGAGAAAGTAATTAATCTTGCATGTTACTTTGGCAGGCTCATGGAAGTAAAGACCTGGAAGAGCAATTGCGGTCTGTGTCCAGTGTGGATGAACTCATGACAGTACTTTACCCAGAATACTGGAAAATATTCAAATGTCAGTTGAGGAGAGGAGGTTGGCAGCACAACAGGGAGCACTCCAGCTTTGACACAAGATCAGATGATTCCCTGAAATTTGCCGCAGCACACTATAATGCAGAGATCCTGAAAAGTAAGTACAGGACGCAATCCACGTTCCAACACACAAAAAATGAAAATCTGAAGGGCTTTTCAATTGCGTCAAAAATGCTTTAAAAGCTAAGCATTGTCAGCCTCAGCAGTTTGATAGGATGTGTTCTCTATAATAGAAAATCTTTGATAGTCAGCCTTTCATAATGAAACAAATCACTCTGCAGACGTATTTTAGGTATGTGCATTGTATAAAAGTGGTTTCTCGGCTCAGTAGAGAAAGTGAAGTGCTTGTCTTCAAGTGTAAGGAATCCTGCTTTGTAGAGGCTGTAACAGTTTTCCAGAAATCAAAGAGGATGCTAGTAGTTTGGCTCATTGAACTATTTCTTCTCATTTTCTGCAATTGCATCACAGCTGGTAATGCTTCCTTCTCTTATGCATTATGGCTTTGGAATGCCAAATAATCCACTTGTAACTTTTTCATGTTACAAGAGGATAGTTGTAATGATGTTGTGCTAACAAACAAGCAAAACAGTTTTCAAACCAATGAGTTTGAATACCTTTCAGTGTTTCAGATAGCTTGGATGAAAATACATTATCTTACAGTTTAAGCCAGTGCTTGTAGGCAGAGAAGATTTATAGCAGGAGGTGCATTTTTGGACATGATATTGGAAATCGTGCACCTTAATGGAGAGTTTAAAGTACACATAATGCAAAATTTCCATTTTTGTTGAATAGCTTACCAAAATCTAGTGCCAAAAGGGAATAAACTTACAGCTGTAAGTCTTGGAGCTGCTTAGTGTAAGATTATATTTAGTAAAATGCTGTGTAACATACAAAGTCTTTGCCCAAATTTGTGAGGATAATCTGGGCACAAAAATCATACATCAGATTAAATCACATGCTGTATATAATTGTTAAATAGTCAGCTTTTGCTTTAAATTATATCCTTCTTGTTAACAAACTAAACATGGATTTAAATGAATTAGACATTAAGTGTATAAAATTTAAAAATTCTAATATATTATATCCAGGTGAAATACTGTGTGGGGCTGGTTAGAATTACTTTGCAGAAGTGTGCCCAAAAAAAGTGCAGATTTTTCTCAAGATGAGACTTGCCCCGGGTGAAGAAAGGACATATGCCTCTTTAGCAGCTGGCCCACAGCTTCTGCCCCTCCCTCTGCTCCAGTGAGACCCATCAGCAGTGCTGTATCCACAGTGCCCAGCTCAGGAACCCCCAGCACAAGAAGGCTGTGGACCTGTTGGAGCAGGTCCAGAAGAGGACTGTGAGAATGTTCAGGGGGCTGGAGCACCTCTCCTATGCAGATGGGCTAAGAAAGCTGGGGCTGCTCAGCCTGGAGAGAGAAGATTCCCCGAAGTTCTTACAGCAGCCTTCCAGAGCCTAAACAGGATCTACAAAAAAGATGAGGAGAGACTTTTTAGCAGGTCCTGTTGTGACAGGACAAGGGTAATAATTTTAAACTAAAGAAAGTAGATTCACACTAGATAAAAAGAAGAAAACTTTTACTATAAGGATGGTGAATTACTGGAACAGGCTGCCCAGTGACGTGGTAGATGCCCCAACCCTGGAAACATTCAAGGTCATTCAGGTTTGGGTGGGGCTCTGAGCAACCTGATCTGCTTGACCATGTCCTTGCTCATTACAAGAGCAAGGTTGGGCTAGGTGGCCGGTGACATTTAAAAGTCCTTTCCAGCACAAGCCAGGCTATGATTCTGTGCTTTAAGGTCTCCCCTGCCTGTTGGGTTCCCTTTTAGTTCTACTGTGACTTTTCATCTGCTCCATGATGACATGTCATATCCCTATGAAGGAGAAAAATCAGCTAGAAGGTAACATACAGAGATGCGTTTCACTGACTAAAAGGTGTGACTCTAGAATATCATATTCTGAAGTTTAAAAAGGAATCCTAATTTACTGCAGGATAGTTTTGGTTTTAAACAGGTACTTTATAACATGAAATTCCCTGTAACTTGGCAGGTATTGATACTGAATGGAGAAAAACTCAGTGCACGCCACGTGAAGTGTGTGTGGATGTGGGAAAGGAGTTTGGAGCAACTACAAACACCTTCTTTAAACCCCCATGTGTATCCATCTACAGATGTGGAGGTTGCTGCAATAGTGAAGGACTTCAGTGTATGAATATCAGCACAAATTACATCAGCAAGACAGTAAGTTCTCATGCTTTTGCAGTTCTTGTACTCCTTGCAAATACATCTATGTTTATGCATATTTTAAACCTTCTTATTGCTACTGTGACAAGGGAAATAGTTGATACCTAAATACACAGGAAAAACAGCTGAAGACACTATTGCCTGGAAAAGGAATGTTTAATGCTCTTTTTCCCCAGAATAGTTTTATTTTTCAGGGGAATAATAAATTATGATGTCCCAATCTCAATATTGAGATTATCCATGACATTTAATTCTCTCTCTCCTTTTTTTTTTTTGTGTATGTGTGTTTTTGGTTGGGGTTTTTTTCCATCTACCTTATGCCTGTGTGGGGCAATCCATGGAAAACTAGCCTGTAATTTTATTCCTGTAGACTCCTGCAGTACATGTGTAGTCAGGATAAATGTTTCAAATAAAGCCTTTTAGGAAGGGTATTTTACTATATTAAGATATATTAGCATTATGTACCTATTTGTTTTGTTGTAATGCATCTTCTTCCAGTGTATGTGCAGGTTTTGTTCTTCAAGTTCAGCATTAGTGATCAGGTAGGAGTGTGCAGAGATCATGCACTGAGCCTGTGAGCTGCCTTTAAAGCAGCATATGCTACATTATTCTAAGTAGATACAGGAATTATCACAATTATCACAATTATCTTTCAACATTTATAAGTAGATACAGGAATTATCACAATTATCTTTCAATATTTCCCTCAAAAATCATGTAAAAATAGTCATACTTAAAAGCATTTCCTAGGGAATTTTCCTGTTACTATAGTATTTGGTCGGGTTTTTGTTGTTTGTGGGCTTTTTCAGTTTTTAGTGTAAGTCTCGCTTCCTTTTTCAAGAGGATTCATCTAGCTGAAGATGCTGTACATATTTATAATGAAGACTAAAAACTGCATAGCCAGTTATAAAATTGAAGCCCTTGGAAATGTCACTCCTTTATCAAAAACCTTCTTAATGTTCTGAGCCTGTTCTAAGGGAATTAGGAAAAGGGAATATAAAGAAAACAGCAAAACCCACTGGTTTTGTAGAGTGCATTTTCTGCCCTCATTTCTCACCAGATCTGTCTGTCTCAAATGGTATATCCCTCCAAGAATTTTCAATCCTAAATTTAGGCTACTGGTAGACAAGCACACAGCATAGGAGTAATGTAGCTCAATTAGCTTAAATGAGGACAACTACATCACTGACTTTGTTCAAGCCTTACTGTTTTTCTCATTATTAGGAGAAACCATTGTCTCAATTCCACTTGTTTGAAAGATGCAAATATAATTTTCATTTTAAAACCTTAGAAGTGGTGGTTTTTTGGGTTTCTTTTCACATTTTGGTAAATTTTAACTTACCAAAACAAAGGATTATCTCATCACAGAGAGAGCTGTTCCGCATAACACAGATTTCCTAGTTTTTGAGCACTATGTCAGTTTGGGCTAAATCGTGTATTTCTCTTCATCTTACTGTTCACATCTGTTGAGTGAAATAATTTTTCACCCAGTAGAAGATGTTTAGCACTGAGTTTCCTTTTGAAGTTCACAATGCTATTGGTGATGATATGATGTAGGAGTATTTAAAGATTTGAGAGACTCTGAAAAGGAAAATCTTAAAAGTCTTATTAGAAGAGGCAATAACACTCTTTTGTTTTCTTACTTATTCTGAAAAAGCAAGCAATGATATGATGTAGGAGTATTTAAAGATTTGAGAGACTCTGAAAAGGAAAATCTTAAAAGTCTTATTAGAAAGAAGAGGCAATAACACTCTTTTCTTACTTATTCTGAAAAAGCAAGCCATTGTATCTATGAGTTTTCTGTCTTGCTTCTGATTTTCAGCTTTATCTGGTCCTTGACAGAATGCAGTTTTAAAAGAACCTTTAATAAAGGAACAGACCTATAGCTTATATATCTTCATCTGTCACAATCTCAATTTTTTTTTTATTATGTGACCATAGTTTAGCCCATATCAGATGAGAATTAGGAAGAAAAAAAGTATTGGATTCAGGATCTTCTGTGGAATTCAGGTACCCCACACACCTATTTTCACCACAATTTCTCTTTTTTCATGAAAGAAATGAGTACAAAAAGATTTCTAATAATTCACCAATTTTTAGCTTTGTTTTTTGTGCAGAAACTCTGTAAGATAGCTTCATACAGTTCACCCTGCAGAAAAAGTACTTAATGGGAAATTAATTTTTTAGCTGGAGTTCTCACTGTGAGGGCAAGCTCTAGCATTGGTCCCAGACATTAAAATCTAAAGAAAGATTATATCAGCTTTCATCAAAATTAATTAAAAATAAAAGAACTAAGCAGAGAAATTATTTTTATAGGGAGCAAATCACTGATTTCCTGAAGAATAGACCAGGTCAGATGTTCCCAGATTGCCTAGTGGAACACAGTGGTGGTCCAGAGCAAGGTCAATAGTTTTCTAGTTCAGGCTGTGTTCCTCCTTTCTAGCTAATTAACATTATTGAGAGAAAAGTAGAAGCATATTCTGCTTTGTTTCTAATGCCATTTTTTCCAAACCCTGTTTTTGTAGTTGCTATGGGATGTTTATACAACTAGGATTGAGATGTGAGACAATTTCTTAATTAAGATACAGTACAAGATCTGTGACAATATTTGAAGACTCCCTAAGCTAATTCACAAACTGCAGTTGGTCCTCTCCTGCCTGCAGTAGCCCAGTTTTTAAGTGGTGGCTTGTCTAGTAGGGATCTGTGGGAAATGTGACTGGTTGAGTTTTCATTTTGTGGTGTGGTTGTTTGGGTTTTTTCTCTGATTTGTTATCAAACAGCTGTTCTCTGTTTCCATGGCAAAAATAATTCAACAGTGGTTACAAAGACAGTGGAACTACCTGTTGCAGCTATAGCCTGTTCCTCAACAGCACTTTAATGCCCCACCTAAAGGCACTCGCTTATAGGTTGAAGGGAAGCTTGGGCAGATGTCAAAGATCTGTTTCATCCCGTTCTCCCTCTTGGCTGTCAGGAAGGACATTTTTTGGCTTCTTTGAGATCACTTGTTGTAAAGGTCCTAAATCATCTTGTTTCATGGTTAAGTTATAGTCCCTCCAGGGAAAACATCTATCCAAGCAGATCAAAATTAGATTTAGAGGAGATTTTCTCACAGGAAACAAGTTAACAGCTTGAAATTGTTTGCCCAGTTTGGGATGTGTGTGGTGTTCTTTTTCACAATTCAGAGATAGACCACAAGAATATTCAGTTGTTTTCAACATTAACATTTCTACCTTTTCCCATGCATTTTTTTTGTTAGACTAACTGCTTTAGTGATATAGTAGGTACTTTAAATAGTGAGGAAATACGTAAGTTACAAATTTTTTGTTACTATTTCTGGGAAAGGAAAGGGATTAAAATAGAAAAAGATAGAATAAGGAACCCAAGTGTATTAAATAGATATGAATTTATTATGTCAAATACCTGTTTTATCCCACATAAAGCTTGAAATAGTTTTTCAAGAAAGTTCAAGTAAAATAATGACGTTATGCCATTTCTCAAATAGTTTATTTTCATTCTTTTCAATATAGAGATGTTTAGTTTTGAAGTCAGTCTTATGTCGTCAGTTTAAAACTCTCTCTAGACACGTTGTACTGTGTTACACTGGTTATATTTGGCTGGCCTTACTGACACTTTAGAAAGTGCAAAGACCACAAGTGATGGAAACTTAGACTCAATCAATTTAAGGGAAACTTGCCAAAATAAACCAAAGGCCATCAGAAGAACATGGGGTAGTTAATGTAAATCTTGGGAGAAAAACATACATAAATCCTGTATTTGAAAAGTATCTAGAATGATGGCCTTCCCTCACAATAACAGTTTTGATATATTTTAGGACTCAGTGAGCATATTAATAATTTTATGTGTGCTGATGTAATGGATATTGGCACATATGATAGTGCTGAATAAATTAATTTAGCCACTGAAGCAAAGAAATGCTTTGTATAAAAAGCCTGTTTTTCTGGTAAGTACACTATGAAGTCCTTCTAGTGTAAAGAAGAAGCCATCAAGGCCACAGATCAAAATTATATGTCTTATGGGTCTTTGAGTAGCCTGGTCTAGTGAAAGGTGAACCTGCCCATGGCAGAGGGGTTCTAATTAGATGAACACTAAGGTCCTTTGCAAACCAAACCATTCTATGAGTCTAAGGATCAGTGAGAAGGAATATATGGAAAATTGCATTCTCAAGAGTTCTGATAGCACTTTTTGTCAACACGTTCAAAGATTCCCATCTTCACTTTAGATTTTTTTTCTTTTTTTCTAAGTTTAAAATCATTAAGTTAATGATTTTAACTTAATCATTTAAGTTCTAGGTTGTGGACAGTGCTCGGAAGAGAAACCCTAGAAATGGTGTGAAAGACTAGAAGACCTGTCATCTGTCTTTCTGTGATAAAACAGCCTTAGACTGGCTGAATGGCAGGTGTTGAATTCTTATAACATGCATTTAATTATTAATGGCTTTCAATTGTTCTTCAGTTACACAGAGCTTCTGTTAATATGTGCTGTACTCTGAGATTAACAATGTGTAACTGATTTATGTTTACAATTAGCAGCTTTTCTGGAGGAGGACAGAGCTTTGTGATTATGTGGGGGTTTTTTTTGGTGTTTGTTTGGGTCTTTTTTGTTATATATATTACTCTTTACTTATACAATCACTTGTTGCTTCTGTTGTTGCTTTCCACTGGTTTCTTGAAAATTCGGTGTCGATGGCAAAAAGGTACAGGACAGCATGGGCAAGTTGAGGCTATTTTTGTCTTTTATTTGCTTCTGACTGGAGCAATACTCATAAATTGCTGTTCTATTTATTATAACTACTAAAATTTTTCAGAGCAATAAAAGCTCTCTACTTTTCAAAGACTTCTCTAATCCCTGCTGCTGTCAGATCTTATGTTCTTCTGGGGACTGAAGCTCATTCATTGTAGTCTTTGGTACTGATTATGTGTCTTTAGGGATTGGTGCCTGAAGGAAATGATTTTTCCCTTTAGAGTGAATTAGTCTGTTTATCGAAATTTAAAGTTGGAAAGGAAGAGAAGATCTGGACTTCTAAGAATGCAGTAAATCCAATTTTTTAGAGAATGGGGGATCAAACAGAAATATAAGCCATTTGGTCTCCAAGAAGAATTACCCATTTGGGCCATGTAGGTAGCAGCAATAGTAGCCACAGCCAACAGTGGTGCCAGAAAAAGAATTGAGAACCAGCCTCATAACATAGATGTTATGAGGCATTTTTCATAGAAATATCCTTTCTATGTATTGACATTTGGTTGGTAAATGTTGCCAGACATGCCCTATAGTGACAGCAGATGTTGAGCTTATTGTTCTGTTGGATGAGGAAGGGGAGCGAAAAATAAATTGTAGATGTTATCAAAACCATAAAGCATTGTTTATGGCCAGGTTTTACATAATCTGAAATGTTTTACTTAGATAAAGATTCAGACATAACTGAGGCATGTTGAGAGTTTATTCACATTAATAGTTTCGCTGAATAAACAGTAGCAGCTATTGGGTGAGGTAAAATATGTTAATATTTAGAGAATTTATTTGAACAAACTGCAGGTAATTTGAGGAGGTCAAAATACCCTTATGTTGTTTAACTAGACTTTTCTCACTGCACCATTGAAGTGTTGATGAGAATAATTTTTAGCAATATTAGTCTCCAAACTGATATCTTTCACAGTAGAAGGATAAATGTAAATTAAGATTAATTCACGTTCACCATCATTTCCATTTCCATTAATATGATTGATACGTCTCAGCTGTTTTTGTGAAATTTCTCTCAGTGATCTCGTGAAGCTGAATTGGACTGTTGGGCAAGGACCTAACTTCTTTAGGTGCTTTGGAAATGTAGCAGTCGTCCTGTGCTGCCATCTCCAATGGGCTGTAGTCTGCTATGCTTTGCAGCATGGCAGATTGATCTACTGCAAGAATACAGGAAGAACATGCACTTGTTCTCCAGCTGCAGTTAGGTCCATTCACAGACTCACTTTCTAATATTTATCAGTTCTCTCTGTAGCAGATTTTTATTTCAGCTTCAGAAAAGCGAGGTCATACTGTCATGAGCGAACAGAAAAAACAAGATCTCCTTACATGTGTAATATTGTAATTAAGTTCATTCTCTTTGTTCTGCCCATCAAGTCATACCCATCTTCTAAGAATCAGCTTTCTAAGCAGGTTAATACATCCCATAATGCTGTTTTTATATTTTGAAATATTTAAAATTACCAGTATTTTAAGTTACAGATTTTTAAAGAGCATTTCAAATACATCTCAGCCAAAAATTATTCTTTTTATACAATCTTACCAAGTGGAACTGGAATAAAAAAACAATGACCATTTTTAAAGATGGTAAAGTCCCCAGAAGATGCAGGTATGTTCTTAAATGTATTTGGACAAATGACTGAACACCTAAAAAGCAGCAGTACACTGTTGCCCTTCTTAAACACTATCAAAAACCAGCTTTTAAGACTTTACATAGGTATTTGTCCTAACTTTTCAAGAGATTATTGAGACTTGAGTCTTACAGCAAAAACTACTTAATTTGATGAAGTAGATGTCCTGAATCGAAAATTGAAGTGAGTTTCTCTGTTTTTCTGTTATCGCTTGTTCAGTTTTCCTACTAGGTATCACTGAAGTTGTCCTCTTTCACCAGTTGAACTGGTTGAATTCCCAATGAATTTAAGATTTTGTTAATTCACATACAGATTATTTTATCAGTAGTGGATATTTATTAATACTTAAAAAAATAATAGTTCAAGATAGATTTATTTCATCAGGATATGCATATAACTTGCATAACACAAACACTAAAAATTTTTAAAATGTGGTATGCTGTAGTTCAAACATTGTTCATCCAGAACTGGTGTGATCAAAGTCCACTATACTGCTGTTTTACATAAGCTTTTGTAATTGTGCAACTGATGTATTAGGTGGTAACTTACTGTCGTTTTATATTATTGTTCAGCTTTTCAAAGCACCTTCCAAAGGTTTCATTTTGGATTTTTTAAAAATGAAGTCATCTTCTCTAGAAAAATGAGTTCTTTGTACATCTTCCTCTTGTATATTAAATGCTGTAGTAAGCAGACTGGCATGTAACAGGGTTTAACACTAAAAATGTTAGTTGTCACATCATGACTATTATATTCATTTTGCACATAATAATTATTTAGCAATATAATTGAATGCTGGAAGACAACAAAAAAGTCTGAACCTTCATGATAGGTTTTTCGTACGTCCTTACATTAGTTTTAGCTGGATCTGTATCAGAAGTTTTTTGCTTTGCTTTGCCTTTCGTAGCTGTTTGAGATCACGGTGCCGCTGTCCCACGGCCCCAAGCCCGTCACCGTCAGTTTCGCCAACCACACGTCCTGCCGGTGCATGTCCAAGCTGGATGTGTACAGACAAGTCCACTCCATCATAAGGCGTTCCTTGCCAGCAGCACAAACTCAGTAAGTATGGGGCTTGTCTTGTCTTTCACATTATGAGCAAGCCTATATAACTCATATTTAATATGCTGCTGGTTAGTCTTCACAGTTAGGACAGGTGAGCTATGCATGGCAGTAGCAGAATGCATTCTGCAAGGGAGCTGTTGCTATTTGACACAAAGACAATTTTACTAAATTAACATCACCTTTCTACCCAGTAAATAAACTGGAGCAAGATGATTTAAAACTGAAGAATAATGTATGTGGGATTTGCTTGATGATTGAGTTACAGTACAATTGAGACTTAAAAAAAAAATCAGCAAAATCAATTCATTTTCAAAAGAAATTCTAAAAATATCTTTGTAAATAATTAGGAGACAATATTTCTCTCTCAATCTGTATTTTCAAATTTTAAATGCCTTTTTAAGGGATTGTTGTTTAGGGAGTCTTTAACTCGCAAATCTTTCATTACACATTTTCACACGCCAGACATGCATATAAAATAGAATGGAAGAGGGAAATAAAGAGTTAATTGGCATTCCATAGAAGTAGCATATTGATTTTTTGTGTGTGTGATTTTGAATGAAAAATATCACAGAACAATCTGGCACCAGAAATCTGATTTTAAGTTATTAAAACACTTGAAGATCTCCTTCCTTAATTTAGAGGTTTGAGTGATTATTTTATGATGTATAAATATTTAGGAGGTCAAAAACACATAATAGGCTAACAGTTGCTTTGAGGAAGAGTCAATAACTAGAAGCAAAGCTGGAATGAATTGACATTTTTAATAAGGTGAGTGAGTAGAACAAATTTCTCAGAGTTATTAAGCATTTTGCTCAGTGATTTTAATCTGTTTAAGTCTGCATGTTTTCTGACACATTCCTAAACACAGATTATATTCTGTTTGAGTTTAATTTATTTAATTTGTTCATCAAAACATGGATCATAAATAGTAGCTTGAAAATAAATCTATTAATAATTAGTTTAATTACATAATTAACAGATTATTAAAAAACAAACCCAAGAGTAAGTAAGTCAAATTATATTGGCTCTCTCCAGCTTCCCAGTGTTTCTAAGTTAAGAGCAGTTATAATGATCAGGGCAAGAGTTTATTCTAGCCAGGAAACAGCTATGTGTACTTTTGGGAGGTGAGAGTACAGATACCAGACTTGGACCTGCACTCACAGAAAGCTGTTTGTCCTATGGCTAAGGAATCATTCTTCAACAGAGAAAGACAACATAGTACTAGATCAGAATATATAAATGTCTTCTCTACTGTTAAAGTATTTAAGTTTGTAATCTGTGGCTTTTTGCAATAAAACAGGCAGAAGAGTTTGATATTTTTTTGTTTTGTTTGGTTTAATTTGATTGGTTTTGTTTGGGTTTTTTTAATAGAATACAATAATATATCTGTAGATAATCCATACTATTTCTCAAATGGAATTGGAAGGCAGGCTGAAGGAAATGTATGCCAAGTGAGGCAGCAAGAGTGAGATCATTATTGGGATGAAATCAGGAAATGCTAGTTTGATAAAACTAGTGAGGTGAAGCAGGGTGATGTTAAACCACAGCAGTCTTCACAAGTGGAGTGATTTAATGTGTTGGAGGGGAGCAGTCTACTTGAATGATGATTCACAGAAGAATATCCCAGCACCTGCATTTTTGAATGTGTAAGTAATGGTGCTCAGGGGAATGAAAAGTGCATCAAATGTGTAATATAGGTGTTGTCTTAAAAGATTAGTAGGATTTTAGAAATACTACAGAAACAATGAATAAATTATACAGCCCGGATACATGAAGTTAGGCTTGACTTGTGCAAAGATGTAATGTCAGCTGTGGTGATAAAGAAATTGCAAGCAAAGAAGATGAAATAATACACATAAATATTCTATCAGTGATTCACCAGACAGCTCAGTTCACTCATTCTTTAAAAAGGCAACAGCTGCTGTTTGGATTTTTTGCTTTCTTTGGTACCACTACCTTGGCTGCAAACTGTAACAGGAAAAGAGGACTAAAGTTTTAATTTGTTTATTGTCTTTATTTTTAAAGTGAAGAGGCATCACTGCTGGAAGTATAATTCTTTAGGTGGGAGAAGGCTGGCCAGAACGAGGGACTGATGAGAAAGTGTCAGCTAATGGCACATAATTTTCACATAAAGTGTAACGGAATCTGATAAACTGATTTTATTTAAGTTTTGCCTACAGAATTCATTCTGAAACTATTACTGCTGTCTTTTGACATCTTAACTTTGAAAACATTTTTGTACTTCAAAAAACTACATGGAAAATGATGCCTGTTACAGTGCAGTATTTGGCATGCAAAAGAATATACTTGTCTATATGAGGCTTATATTCTGGGGTCAGGTCTATTTCAAAACAATATCAGCAAAGTACAAATACTTCTAGAAGCTAGAGCTAAAACTTGAAATATGAGAAGGTTTCTTCAACAAATGGTTGAAAATCTCTGTAGTGGGGAGAATATTTAGTAACAGATTTGACAGGAATAAAATATAAAATTATGAATGAGCTGACACTCTTAGAAAGGTATTTGCAATGGTGATAAACTAAAGCAATCAACAGCTAAAATAGTTTTTTTCTCCTTTAGCTCTTATGGTAGTAAATCAACAGCATTTTTAATTTCACAGGTGTCATGTGGCAAACAAGACCTGTCCAAAAAATCATATTTGGAATAATCAAATTTGCAGATGTTTGTCACAGCATGATTTTGGTTTCTCTTCTCACCTTGGAGATTCTGGTAAGCACTTTCCCTTAAAGCATCAAATGTTCTAAAGACGAGAAGTTGGAGTAATTACTTGTATCTTTTTCTAATTGCTGCTACTGGTTGTTGCCCGTCTTTTGACATATTCTTTTTTTTGAAACACCATAAAAGGTATGGATTTGCTCATTTCTTCACATAAAAATAGCTGAGAGAGTAGACACAAAATTCTGGTACTAGTGGAATTTCTGTGCTGCTTTTCTAGACACATCTGAAGGATTCCATATCTGTGGACCGAACAAGGAGCTGGATGAAGAAACCTGTCAGTGTGTCTGCAAAGGAGGCGTGCGGCCCTCGAGCTGTGGACCTCACAAAGAATTAGACAGATCATCGTGCCAGTGCATGTGCAAAAACAAACTTATCCCTGCATCCTGCGGGCCCAACAAGGAATTTGATGAAGAAAAGTGCCAGTGTGTATGTAAAAAGACCTGTCCTAGACATCAGCCGCTAAATCCTGCAAAATGCATCTGTGAATGTATAGAATCTCCCAATAAATGCTTCTTGAAAGGAAAAAGGTTCCACCACCAGACATGCAGGTAAAAACACAGTTGTTATTTCTTTTATGGTATTCAAGGCCTAAAATAGAGAAGTCAGGCACTTAAGAAGCTAAGAAATGCCATAATAAATATCTGATGCTGATTTCAATATCTCTGTTGATTTAAAGACTTAGTATTTAAGGGAAGAAATTAAGTTCAGCCTTTCTCTGTTGTGTTGTGGTTGAATATGATAGAGTTTGAATCATTTTCTCACTTCCAATAACAGTATGATATAGGATGCTTTTCTCTTTTTTCTAAGCTGTTTTTCTTTTGTCTTTGATTGCAGAAAGAAAGTTTTATATATGTTGTTACTTTATACCTCTAGAGCCAATAGTCCTGTCGATGTTAGCACTGTTAGAGGAGGATAATCTGTCCTCCTTAAGAAAAGACTTAGCATAGATTTCTCACATTTTGGCTCTGTCCAGCACAGGCTGTCACTAAAAGGAATAAAAATCCTGCAACATCCTTTTTATCTCTTGCTCATTCAAAACAGCATCAATTATATGATCTAATTTATATAATAAAACTATAAAATATATTAATGATAAAAAAATTACAAAAATAAATAGAAGTACCACTCTGTTCAACTTTGTGCTAGACATGTGAGCTCTAGACTCGAGCATAATCATGTCCTAGACAGCTTCCTGTCCTACAAGTAGTGTTTGTAGCCTCTGGTTTTGAAACACTAATATTTTTATGCACTGTAGCTAAAATGCCTTTGCCTTCTGGTGTTACACCCTGCTTCAGATGAAAGGAATACAAAATCATCTACAAAGCACAGGATGGGAAGGGAAAAAAAGCTCTCTGCTTTTTAAGGTGATTATGCTGTTTATCAGCCCAAGAAGTAGCATTTCCCCTTGTTTCATCTGTGGAATTGTTAGAGTGCCCACGGTGGGCAATCTGGGCATTCTGCACAGCAAAAATCACAATTATTGACCATAAAGAAACTGCTGCTTTGCCCAGCACTATGAATAGTGACTAAACATCTGTCTTAGCTCCAGCATGCTCAGAGTATCCTCCTTGAAACAGACCTCTGTCACATGAAACCACTCCGTAAACAGCATTCAGACCAAATCTCTTGAAAGACCTGGTCTATTGTTCAGCAGTTTCCTAAGGAAACCACATTTATGTAGTTACAATGACTCTACTGCTATTCACCCCGTGCTACCACCTCTGAAATTTATTTTGGTCAGTTTTGGCCGGCCAGATAACTAGGAACTTCATCTGTTAAGCGCTTTAGAGGAGGAGAGGGGTTTTCTTGCTCTGTTGAAATGTCCCAAATAAGGATAGGACTGAAGTAACCTGACCTTGACTGCTGCTAGACACAAACTCACATGGGAGAGGTGCTGTATAGCACTCCCAGCTGCAAGCTGAAGCTCACAAGGAGGCATGAATCCTAAAAAAAGTGAGCACCTCATGCTTAATGTTTTTATGAGTGCTTTTCATTGTGTACAGTCAAAGGTGGGTGGAAGAGTTTGGCTTTGCATCTTTTTCTTCTCGTTTCATTGTGCTGTCATTCAGTACATGAAATGGTCTGAACTTTCATGCCATAGACAGCAAAAAGGTGAGTTCAGTGTTTCATCCACTGCATCTCTGTGGAGTACCTTTTTCCGAGAACAGACCTACTGCTGGTGGCCTGTTCACTTAGAAAATTAGATCCTTCCACAAACCTTTTCATTGCCTTTTACCACTCTTTCAAAACTTTTGGGGGAATAGATTACAGTAGGGGTTTGAGAGATTCCCATGAGCTGCTACACTGATTTCAAATCTCTATTAAGTGGCACAAAATAATTTTACTCCCTTAATTACAGAGACCACAGTGGTGAACTAATCTGTGATAAATGGCATTGGAAACACTGAACATGATGTGACTAGTTAATAAATGTCCCATTTGCAGTCTTCCTCATTCCTTATCGCTTTCCTCATAGCCAGATTCAGTGGTCGAACTGGATGGTGTGAATTAATGTAACTGTAGTGCAGACCTCATATAATAAACAAATTATTGCAAAGTAGTAACTGAGCATCCAAAACAAGCACACAACATACTAACTTATTTGCAACAACAATAAGAGTAGCCACAAGCCTGAAACAAGAATTACCTAGGGAAGAGGAGAGTGACGTTGCACAACTTAGTGTGCTGTATATATGCAAGTAAGAGTTATCATAATAGATCATAATATCAGTGTTTCACAAACAGGCACACATTATTTAAATACAAGTTTTAAGTATAACTGTGCTGAAACTCAAGACATATACTTTTGTCTTTTGACTCATTGCCAGTGTCTGAAAAAATCACAGACTTGTACTTTGTCTCTATTATACACCAGAAAGTATTTAGCATTGTTATTGTAAGGTTATTTTGGGTCAAGTTCTTGTTTTAATAGAAAAATTAAATAGGAAAAGGAAGGGTTCAGGGACAACCAGAGATATTATCTTTGTATAAGTTCTATTTTTCGGTCAAGGAGCTGGTGAGGAAAACTTCTGCTGCTGCATAGGAAGATGTGATTTGTGGTTCAATGCTGTATTTCTTTTAAACTTATTTTAATCAGGTAGACACTAATTCTGTTCTTTCTCTATTAAGATTTATCAGAAACATGACAAGTAGGCTCTGATTTTTCTTCAGAATGCACACAGATGCAATATGAATACAGATATATTCCCACTGGCTCAGAGGCTGGCTGTGGGAATTTGCAACTTGAAAGGAAGTATGTTCTCATTTTCAAGATCAGAGTCACAGTGTAACATATGTAGACAAACCTCTCTCAGGCTTATTGAAGTAGTCAGTAAGATGAGAAACAGTCCTGGGTAGGAAGGTGAGAGATTTGGTTATCACCTGATTCTGGATTACCACTTCCAATTTGCAGCATGCAGTAGTTTACAACAAACCAATCTGAGTACAGAAATATATCCTATTTTCGAACTAAAACTTTAAAAAATAGTACTCAAGATTAGAATGCAACTACAACCAGCAGTGTGATAAAAAACATCCATATGTATCTGTTGCAATAGAATAATTTCTCTTCATATCATTTGTTATTGTTTCGTTGTCTTTTGTGAAGAATAGTTCAACTGAAATTGTTGCCAGAACATAAAAACTTCAAATTTATATGAATTTGTAAGAATTAAATATTTTGTTCAGAAATGGCAGTATGCAATGGCACACAGCTTTCTGCTCCTGTTAACCATAAATGATAGTGTTATATTAATGCCCACTTTTTTCCCCTTTCTTCAGTTGTTACAGACCTCCGTGTACAGTGCGGACGAAACGCTGCGACGCTGGGTTTTACTTCAGTGAAGAAGTGTGCCGCTGTGTTCCTACATATTGGAAAAGACCACTTATGAATTAGCCAAGAGAGCACTACTTGCTACGTTGGTGTACATTTTTCCATTAGAACAAAAGAACAACAGAAACTTTGCTAATATTTGGAATTAAATGTTCACCAGAGACCCTGTGGGGCTTTCAGAGACAGACTCGTGCTTTTCTCAAGACATGGAAAGCAAATGTAGAAAACAACTGGGGTTCACGTTTTGTAAAGAACTCAATAAGGACTTGTTTTCTGTCAATGACCAAATGCCTAGGTTCTCCTTCTTGTGATTTTTTTTTTAAGAGATAATGACTATATAATTTATTTCCACTAAAACCATCGTGCAGCATTTCTGTTTATAGCAGTAACAATTGTTAAAGCTCACTGTGATCAATATTTTTATATCATGCAAAGTATGTTTAAAATAAAATGGAAATTGTATTATATAATGGTGAGAATGTTTAATCATCTGCCTAAAAAGGAACTCAGATTTAGCTCTATTTTCTGGATTCTTAATAGGGAAAGAAGCAATAAGGAGAAAGCACTTTTATGAAGGAAGGCTGCAGACATTTTCTTGTACCTGTTGTGTTTGCCATTTGGAATAGTTATACTGAGGGCTTTTTGAGCCAGTGGTATTTCTGTCTCTAGAATGAAAGTAGCAAGGAATGCACAATTAATAGCAAGAGAACACTGGAGATTCTGTACTTTGCCCAAGTATAAGGACAGTGTTTAAAGCACAGCAGCATCTACTCACATTCCAATATAGTCATCTCCTATTTTAGTTCTTGGTGTCATTCCCAAGGAAAAGTATAAAATTATGTCTGTTCAAGATTATTGGCATGTGAGTGGAAATACCAAGATTGTTTTTTATTTAGTGTTACAGGCTACATTTTAAATTTTACAGCTAAATCTTTGAAAATGCTTTGGTGAGTTTACCATTATGTAGTCAATCAGATCTCTTGATCAACATATACAGCTGCAAATATATTTTGAAGGGGAAAATACATATTCCAATGGGGATATGAAAGGACTTGTACCAGTCTGCTGTGGATTGACACAGTCTCTACACTAAAAAAGTCTCTTTCAGAAAATATGAAATCAGACATCTGCAATTTTAAAACAAGGTAAGATTTTTAACTTGCGTGGGAAGGGCAATCTATTAAAAATTAAAATATATCAGAAGTTGGAAGGAAGTTTTTTACTTACAGAAACTTTGTTGGGTACTGAGTGGAGCAAGCAAAGCTGCAAAGCAAAACTTTTGTGACAGGAGTGGTCAGAGCTCTAAAAATAATTCTGCTGTGTCTAAGCAGCCATTCATAAAAGAGTTATTAATGAAATAGTATTCTATTCTAGAACATTGGCCAGGAGGGGTTGCTTTTCTAGATTCTTTATATTTCATAGTTCTTAAAACTGAGTTTTAACTACTCAGTCCCCATTGTGAGTTGAGGCAGTGTAACAGGGTGGGAGATACTTTGAGACTTCACTGCTTTCTGCTATGCTGCCTGCTATGGTCAGTGTTCTTCTTAAGAGGCCAGCTATTTATTATCCAAATAGGATAATAGGGTGAAGTTTAGGCATGCAAATACTGCACAATGTCTTTATTACCATATTGCTTCAGCAATCAAGGAGGCCAGCTATTTATTATCCAAATAGGATAACGGGGTGAAGTTTAGGCATGCAAATACTGAACAATGTCTTTATTACCACATTGCTTCAGCAATCAAATGCAGGTAGAAATGTGGATGACAATTTAACATTGATGTACAAACTCAATGATGATTCTCACTTCCCATCAGTAGGATTAGTAACCATGTAAGTCATCAGTGTCTAAATTGGCAATGTTGACATAAGAGCTAGAGGTTAATGATCCAATTTAATTCAGTATTCAAAAAAAATTCCAGCATCCACTTCTGTAGGTTACCTGCTTGAAGGAAGCCTAAAATACCTTAAGAAACAATTAAATAACAAATTGGATCACTGCTCTGACTCGTATTGGCCAAACCAAAACCACTACACTTTTATAAAGACATATATAGACTTTTATAAAGACAAAAGGGAAAAAACCACACTGTTGGTGAAGATTTTAAATTTCTGTCCCAGCCCAGCACAGAAGAGAGGCAGTGAAGAGAAAGACAAAGCATATCTGGTGCCGGGAACAGAGCCTAAGTAAGCAGGTATCTAAATAACAGATCAAAAATGTACTCCTGGTTATAAATCAGAAGGGCACAAGTGAAGGTAGAACAAAGTCTACATTCCATCAATAATTCCACAGAGATTATAAAAAGTGTGTGTTAAAACAATATGCACATAAAAAAACCAAACCCTGCAAAACTGAGCAATGATCAAATGTCTAAATTTTTTTAAAGAGTTCATGAAAACAACTACTAAGCCCATTGTGGCTAAGCAGGTACTTGCATTTCTACTGAGTGAGCATACCACACCCAAAAATGGTAAAACCCATCTGAGTAGAGAAGGAAAGACAGGAAGTTGAAAAATGAGACTAATGAACAAGAAGCTTCAATATTATCACAAACAGTAGCATTCAATAAGAATTACTTTCTTGAATGCACATTTTTTCTGGTTCTTAACTTTCCAAATATTGAGACTTTTGGACATAAATTATGCCAATCTAAGTAAAATAAGATTTATAGAGAGAAAATTCCTAACTTGTAAAAGTTACCACAAAATCAGGTTGGTGTCTGAGCAAAGTGAATAGTTAACCATTCACAAAATTATGTAGATGCATAGAATAACACATACAAGCAGTTGGTAACATTTTCTGATAATCAGAATCTCTAGTTCTACTTTCCATATGCATAGTTTTATAAAAATGCATTATACATAACACAGACATCAGAATTATGATTACTAGTGGACAGACTCTACAGACTATGTAATAAATGTGATTCCATTTATCTCCATACTGTCATGAAATAATCTGTACAGCAGATCTTCCTTGCATTTATTACATAAAGTAGCTTATAGGTCTACACTGTTTTCAGTTTTGAAGTTATACTCAATTATAATTATGATCTCTTTGAAATTTTCACTTCAAACCTCAATATTTTTTTAAAAATATAAAAATAGATTATACAGTTTAAAAGGAGATTTGAAATATAGATGATAATTCTATATACAAGTTATTCTGCACTAACTCCAAAATAAAAAAAAAGCTTTTATTGTTATTTGTCTAAAATCCCCGTACCTTGTACAAAAATTACAAGGTGGTTGGAAGAGGGAGAGTGCATGTAATTGCAGTAAATCACATTTAATAGTAAACAGACTTATGCTTGCATGTCATCAGGAATTTACAGCAGTTTCTGTACTCTTTCAATAGTGTACTCTAGGGAGACCATAAATTCTGCAGGGTAAGCCCCCTTTACCTGCATGACCAGAGGGACACAGTATTTACAGTGTGAGTGTTGTTAGTCAGCTGACATGTTTGTTTAATTCACGCTGAACAAGTTGATAGTAAATCAGGTCTCTCAGCTCTATTTGAAATCCCTGCATGAAATCTTGCATATGTACTGTATCATCTTGAAAGGCTTAGTGTGAGGATTGCTTTCAGTATTCTCATTTTCAGTCTTTAGATCTGAGTTACAACTCCAGCTGCCCTTGAATTTTAGCATATCCTATTTCTTTTAAGCATAACCACCTATCACGTCTATACCAAAAGACAGGAATGGAATAATTTCTTCAGTCAGTAAGATCATCAGCAGATTAGCCTGAGGAATAGACTGTGTTCTTTAAAATATTATTAATTTTATATTTAATCTAAGAATATATTCCTAAAAGATTGTGATATAAATATATTTAATTTTGCATCATTTGGAGGTAAAAATGTTTGCTGTCAGGTAGAAAAGTTTGAAAGTGGTCAGTTCAGAATTTTCACAACTTTTTAATTTAGAAAATATAGCATAGGATGAATTCTTATATTACATGGGTTTTGCTTCCTCAAAGAAAATAAAAATAATAGAGAACAAAAAGAAAATTTATTACATAAATTATCAACTTTCTCGTTTCCTTTTGCATTGCAGATAAAACTATTGGGGAAGAATGCAGGACAACCTTCTAACTGAGTGATGAAATAATATCAAATGGACCAGGTATTTATTTTTTTTAAATTTAAATAATATTAATGAAATTAGGCCACTTAAATACAGGTTGAAGATTCCACAGTACTCTAGAGGTCTCAAAAGCTCTGTAGAGATGAAAACCTTTTTATAGAACACATGTCTGGACTAATTCTAGCTATACTTTCTTGTCCAAATGTTGTAATGGAATGTGGACAGTAGAAAACATTAGGAGGTCATCAATTTTACAAGTTCAAAAATTTTAGTAATTTATCATTTAAAAAATTATAATTTTTCTGTAGTCTGGATCTGTGAATTTGGGGACCTTATTTCACCTTGAGAATGTACTGAATTACAAGTAGCACAATTTCCAGAAAAAATAATAAAAATCTTAAATCACAGTGCTTTGCTCTTTTGTATAACCATTTCTACTTCTGGAAAAGAATGACAGGAACCTCTAGTAAATGTGTATTACTATTTATTCCTTTTTCTTCTCAGCAAAACTCTTTCATGAAAATAACATCCTGTAGATTCAGGTATTTTTCCTGATCCTGAGTAAGGATATTGTATCTATGCATGACAGTCACTGTCCTTTCAACTGCATTTCAGCAAACTCTTTATCCCATTTCTACATTTATAATCAGCCATACATGGTCACCAAACTCTTCCCTTTTGTTCTCTTTCTCAACTGAAATTACTTGTCTTAGATTTCTGGGCCATATCTCAGTCTCTCCATAAGAATATCTGTATTTCCCTGTCAGCCTTTTCCACATATCACTGTTAACTCTAACCCTTCTACTTCCCTTTTTTATCCAATCTCTCCCTATAAATGGCATTGCTTCCTTCCCTGTTATCATTAACACCACTGTCTTCTCTCTCTTAAATAATCATGCCAACACTGGGATTAGTCTCGCTTTAGATACCTAGAGTTACTCTTCACTACACATACATGAAAGCAAGTGTTAAAAAAAAAGTCTGCATTTACATTCCAAGTTTGCAAATCCAATCTGTCAAAGCAAATAATAATAATAATTACAGTTGAGAACTTCCCAAAGCAAACTTGCAAAAAAAGATAACAGATACATTGCTCACCCTAGCAGATACCACTTGAAAAAGAAAGGGTAATTTACAAACAAACACCAATTTAGAACTCTCCCAGTATAAAAAATCAAGCTTTAATGCTGCTGGATTCTGCATTCTAACAGTGCACTCACCCAGTCCTCGATGTCCAGCACAGCATTTGGAGCTAAATTCAGCCTTGTTATTGAGTTTGTGTTCACATTCATGCTGTGTGGGGAATAAAATCTTGGGTTCAAGGTAAGGAGACTTCTCATATATCCCACAAAACTCCTGAGGTCTGTATTCTTCCTTAG